GCTGTTGCAGCTGTTAATCCAAAAAAACTAATTAAAGAAAATTTATGTTTGATTGGAAACGATCTTTTAGTTTGTAATAAAGTTTACCATTTGAACGATGGTAAACTTTATTTGATTGGTTTTGGAAAAGCTGTTTTATTTATGGCATCTCAAGTGGAAAAAATTTTGGGCAATCGATTATCAAACGGAGTCATTTGTGTTCCTGTAAACAGTCAGGATACTGAGGAACCCACATTAAAAGAAAATTCCGTGATAGAAGTGTATGAGGGAGCTTATAATAATTTACCCGATGAAAAAGCATTAAGAGGAACAGAGGCAATAATAAATTTGGTAAAATCATTGAATAAAGAGACAGATAGTTTACTCATTTTAATATCTGGAGGAGGCTCAGCTTTGTTCACAAAACCCAAGGATGGTGTTACAATAAAAAATAAATTACAAATCATAAATAAATTATCATCGAGTGGAGCTAACATAACAGAGCTAAATACTGTTAGAAAAAAATTATCCACAGTTAAAGGAGGTAATTTAGCTTTGTTAACTTATCCAGCAAAAACGATAGCATTGATTTTATCTGATGTTCTTCACGATTCTCTTGATATTGTAGCCAGTGGTCCCACTTTTCCAAATTTAGATTTCGAATATGCAGCATATGAAATATTAAAAAAATATTATTTATTAGATACAATTCCAGAGAGAATAGTGAATATTATAAAAGAGCCAAATTCAAAAATACCTTTTTCATTAATAGATAATAATAAATTTCCTCATGTTGATAACTATCTGATAGGCAATAATAAAAAAGCCTTGACTAGTGCAAAAGCATATTCAGATAACCAAGGATTAAAATCTACAATTTTATCATCTGAATTAATAGGAAATGTGCAATGTATTGCCGATATCTATCAAGAATTAATTATATCAATTATTGACATAATTCAATGTGCAAATAATGAATCATTTTTAAAAATAGAAAAATTTTCAAAAAATGTTTCTTTTGCTCTCAATGAGAATTTTTTAAACGAGATAAAACAATTGATAACGAATGATTTGCCTCTGTTGAAAAATGTTTGCATAATGGCAGGAGGGGAAACGACAGTTTTTAAAAAAGGAAAAGGAAAAGGTGGCAGAAATCAAGAGCTAGCTTTAATTATGTCGCTTAAAATACACCAAGTCAAATTAAAATATCATGAGTTTTTCAAAAATTATGATGTCCAATTTCTCAGCGCAGGCACAGATGGCATCGATGGACCGACAAATGCGGCTGGAGCAATAATAAATGCAGATGTAATCGATGAAGCTGAAAAGAGTAACTTGTGCGTTATGGAATACTTAGAAAACAATGATAGTCATAATTTTTTTTTGAAATTAAAAAATGGTTCCAATTTAATTTTCACAGGACACACAGGTACAAATGTGTCAGATATTCATATACTTTCATTTAGTTTAAACTCATAACGAATAATTTTTTTTTTTAAAATTGTTGTTTCAATTGTTATGTTAATCGTACATAAGTATACATTCATTTTGACAAATACTTTAAATATTTAACTTGATGATAAACTTTTTTTTCTTTGATATTCATTTGTTTAGATTTTTTTTTATTTTAAAAAATAATCTATTATTTATAATTATAAAATAAATTTTACAAATTTTATAATTTTTTTTTTTTTTTCTTTTTTTAAATCATTTTAAACCATTTAAAAATGATAATCAATGTTTAAATTCAATTAAATAATTAATAAATAATTAATAAATAAATAAAAAGTTCCATAAAAATTTTAAAAGGTTAATTTAACTAATCAATATAGAACATCACATTATAACGATGATGATAATAATAATAATAATAATAAAAATGATGACGTAAATAATAACGGTTTTGTTTTTAAAATTTTTCCATAGAGAGTATTAGTATTTGTTGATACGGTGCTGCCCTCTCGGCCATTTTACGTAACTTGAATTCGTTGTATTATAGCAAGGCAGTTGCACAGTGATTCTCAACATGGTGTTTTAATGTGATAGTAGGTTACGTCGTCGTCGTTGTTATTATTTATTTATTTATTTTTTTTGTTTGTTTTCTTTTTTTTTTGGTTGTTGTCGTTGTTGAAACACTTCGATTTTTTCCACTTAATAATAAAATGCTCAATACGAAACGATTTTTAATTTATTTATATGCTATAATTATTTATTTATTTAATATAAGTGATACTCAACTATTGATAAACGTTAAGAATCAGGTAATGTACATGAAAGGTTACATTTTTTTTTGTCGTCTGCTAACCTTGGACCATGCTTCTTCCTAATGACCGTTTTCACTTTTTTAATAATAATAATTTTATTTTCAATATTTTATCGACTAAAATATGAATGAATAATAATATTGAATGATTTTATTTTACATTTTATATTCATAAATGTCCTTCTCTTTTTATTTTTTGCACCTTCAAAATGTCATGTTGTTGTCGTTGTTGTTGTTGTTGTTTTAGGTTATAGTCAACGCTTTTTTATTTTTTAGTTAAGTTTTTTTTTTGTTTTTTTTTTGTTTTTATAACATTCAAGTAACAAACTTATTGTAAAATTTTATTAATTGTAAAACATAATTTCATTACATTTGATGATGATTATGTATTAACATTCTTGTACAAATGAAACATTTGATGCATGTTGGATAATTGGATTGATTTTTCCATCATTAAATTTTTTTTTTTTTTTACAATTTTACTTCTTCAACCTCCTTAAATTACAATCAATCATTTTACATAACGTGAAAAAAAAAAAATAATAATAATAATCCATTTATGATCATTTGCTGAATGAAAAGAGGAGACAGTCAAAGTTTGATAAACTCATACAAAATTTTTTAATTCAAAAAAAAAAAAAAAAAAAAAAAAATTGATCTTGAAAATAATTTCCAAAATAATTTACTTCTTCTCTATTAATTCATGACAATGGTGAAACGCAAATAAATAAATAAATAAATAAAACGAATTTTGAAGAGACAGACAAACAAATCAATAAAATGCATAAATAAATAAAAAATGTCTATTTCATTATGTAAGCAAATATTTGTCTATCTGTTTGCAAATAATAAAAAAAAAAAAAAAACTCATTCAATGATAATCATTATTATCAGTACGACCGTTCCCACCACCACCATCGTTACTACCCAATCATTATTATCAATAATCAACTGTCATGTTTTAAAATATATTCAGTTTCTTATTATGTAACATTAGATCAAAAGTAACGTAACACGTATAAAGTATTCCATTACTATTTTATAAACATTTCTTTTATTATTATTATTATTATTATTATTATTATTATTATTATTATTATTTGATTTACCGTTCGGCTCCCTCCTTCTTCATTTCCTTTAACTCTCTCAACGCACGTGATTTAAAAAAAAAAAAAATTTTTTTTATTAATATTTTCTTGAAAGGTAATAATAATAATATTATACGCAGGTAAACAAACTTTTAGTTTTTTTTTTTATAAGAGTAGAGAGAGAGGGGAGAGAGAGAGAGAGAGAAAGAGGGAGAGGAAATGACGTGTGTGTTACTCTCTTCCCGTTTATAATAAATTTTGTCTTAAAGATCAAATTTTATAAAAAAAAAAATATATATATATATGTGTGTGCGTGTATTATTTTACCCTTCGGGTCTTGAAAGAGAGAAAAACACGCGCACGCACGCACACGCACACCCACACGTGAAAAAAAAGTTTACCTCGCGTATGTACCTGATTCGTAATGCACGTCGAAGGAAATGTGAGGGGAAAAGGGGGCGGGAAAAAAATAAGAAGAGGAGGAAAAGTTTTAATATGAAATTTAACCTGTAGGCTGTTGAGAGAGAGAGAAAAACTTTTCATTTTACATGACATGTGACGAGAAAAAATAAATAATGGAGGCGGGTAAATTTTTTTTTTTTTTTTAAACTTATAAAAAAAAAAAAAAAAAACGTTATTACGAAAAACATAACGACGAAAAAAGTTTTTAAAAAAAAAAAAAAAAATGTATATCCGGCTTTGTTAATAATAATAATTTTTTTTTTCTTTTTTTTTTTATAACGAATAAACCTTAAATTTATTTTTAGGACGTCGTTTTTTTTTCCCCCCCGTAAAAAAAAAAAAAAAAAAAAAAAAAAATCATAGCTAAAGGCAAAATTAATAATAATAATGATGATAATGATAATGATGATAATAATAATAAATTTCAAAAAAAAAAAAAAAAAAAAAAGAAATTTTGTTGGATTCTCGAAGTAGGTTTAAAATCACCAAGAAAGGGAGGAAAGGAAGAAGAGAGGGAGGGAAATAGCGGGAAAAAAAGTAAAAAAATGGGATAAGTGGGAAAACGGAGGGAAGGGGTAGGGGAACCGCTGTCGATGAAAACCGCGGCGAAAGTAATAATGACGTTATTAAAATTAAAATTAAAATTAAAATTAAAAAGAAAAAAAAAAATCCATGTCATTAATTTTGACTTTTGCGGTATATTTAATTAACCAAATCAAAAGTTATTAAAAAAAAAAAAAAAAAAAAAATTAAATACCCAAGGGGTCACGTGGCTTTATAAAAAAAAAAAAAAATGTTTTTTTTTTTTTTGTTACTCTGTGGAATTATTTATTTATTTATTTTTTTTTTTTAATTTATTTTTTTCGATTTTAATTTCTTTTTTTTTGTGTTTGTTACACTATGGATTTTTTTTATTTTTTCGTTTCGTTTCGAAACCTTTTTCTATTTTAAAAGAATGAGAAAGTTTTCTTTTTTTTTCTTTTTTCCCTTCTCTCTCTCTTTCTTTTTCTTCTTCTCCTTCTTTTTTCTTTTTCATTCTTTTTTAAAAAATTTTACGTAGTTTTTTTTTTGCAAAAGAATTTTTAGCTTAAATAATATTAAAAAAAATAAATCTTTTTTTTTTAAATTTTTTTTAAAGGTTGTTGTCTGGTGGGAGAGTGAGAGAGAGAGAGAGAAAGACAAAAAAAGAGAGAGAGAAAGACAGAGAAAGAAAAAAAGGGGAAAAAAATTCCGTTCACGGTTTCAAATTTGTTTTTATTATGGATTCGTTATTATTATTATTATTAAAAAAAATTATTAATGAATGTCGTATGTGAAATCGATACCTTTCTTTTCTCCTTCTTCTTCTTTTCTTTTTTTGGAACGAAAGAGTTTCGAGAGGTAGAGAACAAAAAAAATGTAAGAAAAGGCTTCTTTTTTTTTTTTCATTTTCTTTTTAAAAACTTTTTCTTTTTTCTTTTCTTTTTTCCCTCCCTCTGCTTCTCCTTCTTCTTCTT